CTGCCGTAGCTTTGAAATCATACTTGGCGATGGCCTCCATTGTTCTACCAAAGGGATCCCAATCTTGAAAGGTAAAAGCAGCGTAAGCCTCCAGATACAGTTTTATATCTCTGTTGTGGACCAGACAATGAGATCACAGTAGCGATGATCCAAGAAGACACAACGATCTCCACCTGCCTCTCTCGGCCCTCCCGTCGCGATCCTCGCGTAAAAACCACGCCGAGAAACCTGTGAATAAAACACGCTCTTTTATTAAATTTGATGATAATCTTCTCTTCTGTTCACTGGGCCGCGCCCCGTTAAAGAACTGGAATTAAAAAAGCAAACGCTCCCCATGAAGAGGAAGGAAACCCGTCTGCCTGACGTCTCGTGCAACCAATAATGCGCGTTCACAAAGCCCAAGCGACCAATCAGATGAGCCCTTCGGGCAGGACACAGCCAATCACTTAACAGCATGGACCGCACACTCCCAATTGGCTGCGCTGCCTCCTAGCGTTGGACCAATAGACAGTCAGAATTTCGCTGCGTTTGAGGACGCGAAGCTAAGTATAACGTCATATCGATGTGCTACGGAACGTGCACAGAATAATATTAGTTTAATTCCGTCAAAGGTTATGTAAACAATAAGTAACGCATTAATTTACACCATTCACAACTCTAACCGGATATTGGAACTTTAATACTTTTTTATGTTATTTTTTGTTTTTCACTTCAACCCCTACGCACGTCACTGCTAAACATAGAAACTATAACGACAATTTATTAATAATTACGTAGCTAAATATCATTGGGACGCAACGCCACGATAGTATACATTCATAAGCATGATCTTTTAAATCGTGTACACAACTTCAATTTTACACTCAGGGTAATAAATAAAACAAACTTAATTTTTTAGGTTGAAATTTTTTTTAGACTTTTACACAGGAAAAGTGTACTACCATTAGCATGAAATAAAACAAAAATATAACAACTTTCAGTACATGTCCCAAGACTTCGAATTCAGTAAAACTGGCATCTTATACATTTCCAACACGTCTCCAAAGGTTGTTTTTATTTTTAGTTTTTTTTTTCGTATATAATGGTGAATAGTAATAACGCTGTACCAATAGTGCGGCCCTTTTCGGCCTTTGAAAAACACTCAAGGCGGGCACATCTTTACGTTACTTTCATAACGTTATACTCACTCTTGTAAACCCCCGCAAGGACCGACGGTTGTTAATCCTGTTATTACCAAGAACAATCCGCGGTAAATATCTATTAATCGTTTATAAGGGGGAGCTTTGGTACCTCGCCCGACTGGAAATGGTGAAAATAGCTGTATTTTTCTGTTTATTTCCGTTTCCTCTTAGGAATGGTGATCGTGCGTGACTGCCCCTAGCGGCCGAGTTCTGTCATTACATACTTCAACTCAAATACGCTCTTTGATGGTGAATAAGCGACAACACAGCGCCATCTTCTGGTTAAACTTCAAGTATGCCTCGTTTAATCAAAGAATAATAAGTGAAAACAACAAAATAGTACAAGACAATGCAAATACAAGCCTGACATGCAACAAGAATCAAGGTAGAATCAACATAAAGTAGCAAAAATAGCCAGATAAAAATTAACCGAAGAAAATAATAAATCTAATGGAGCAGATTAGATTACAGGAAGTTGTTGGAAGGTCATTGGATTATAAAACTTTACTGTCTTAACAATCTTTGTGAGATTTAGGGCATTTTTAGGGAAAGAAAAACTATTTACATTATATTCTAAATGTGTTGACAGAAGCATGTGGGGTGGAAAACAATTGTTTACGTTCTACCAGTTGAAAAGATGAGAGACACCTGTTATTTTAATCACATGCGTACCTCATTTACGACAGACAAAATCCAAAATTTTGTAGATTGTAGAATTTTTAATGAATTTCTTTGAAAATTATGGTGGAACATATCTTGGTTAATAAAAAATTGCATCTCAATATTTTGTTATGTCCTGTTTCCACACTGTTGCTGGTATTTTGGCCCATTCCTCCTGCAGATCTACTCTAGAGCAGGATATTTTGGGGCTGTCATTGGGAGACTTTCAGCTCCCTCCAAAGATTTTCTTTGGGGTTGAGATCTGGTGACTGGCTATGCTGCTCCCGGACCTTGAAATGCTTCTTATGATGCCACACTCATTCATTGCCCGGGTTGTGTGTTTGGAATTATTGACATGCTGAAAGACCACCCATCCACGTTACATGAGTTCAAGTTCAAGTTCAAGTTCGTTTAATTTATATAGCGCTTTTCACAACAGACATTGTCTCAAAGCAGCTTTACAGTAAACCAACAAGTTTAAACTCAACAAAGTGAAAAGAAATTAATTACTAAGTGGTGTACATGTCCCTTGCCCTTGAAGATCAAAAGCGGGTTTCACTCAAAATCTCTCCATACATGGCTCTATTCATCCTTTCCTTTGCACAGATCAGTCGTTCTGGTCCCTTCGCAAAAAAAAAACAGCCCCAAAGCATGATGTTTCCACCCCCATGACACGTTCATTTTTGACTAAAAAGCTCTATTACTGCAGAATTTGAGTCCCTTGACTCTTCGGGCCAGTAGATGAGTTTACCAGGGTCCTTGTTCCAAGTTTCCTTGGTTGACCACTGCATCTACGCTTCTCAGCGTTGCCTGTTTCTTTGTGCTTCTTCTAAAAAGCTTGAAGAGAAAACATCGACACTCCATTCTGCTTAAAATCTTTATCTGGAGAGACCTTGTTGATGCAGACTACCTTCTGTCTGGCTTCATCTTTCCATGAGAGGACACGTTCTTGTGTTGAGCCGAGCTGAGCAGTTCCTCTACCAGTTTTAAGCATCCTACGCAGCTGTTTCTGTTTCAGTTCACAACTGTGTTCCAACCTGGGCGTGACCATTGGTTGCTTTTTTTGGTTTAATTGTTGGATCATACAGCTGAGTCTAATCCTTCAACATCCGTGACTTTAGTTCCTGTTCCAAATATTGATTAGACATGAACTCGTCCTTTGTTTGTTCACTTTGGATTTTTAAATATAGAAAGATAAGCCACTTATGTTTGCGAAAGTTTCCCAAGATCTTAATGTTCCCACAGCTGTGAAAAACACTCATCCTGAGCTGAAAGTGCTTCCTATATGAGCAGCTCCTGCTGTAAACTTTATAAATGACATTTGAGATCAACAAACTGCTCTTTGAAACGGAGAAATTGTTGACTTTCTATCAGCTCTGACCATTCAAAACCTCCAGCTGAGGCCAAGTGGTCGTCATTCTGAAACCCTTGAGAATATTGTTGCTATCAGACAGCAATGTCTGGCGATCTGAGCATCGAGCATCAGATGCTTGCGTTGACCGGTGGATCTTCTCTTTTTTGTTTATTCTGCTCTGGAATCAAATATTAATAAAAAAACAAACACATCAGGAGATTTTAATTCTGGCCAAGAGCGGCAGGTGTTTTAAAACACTAGAAGTCTAAGGTTGATTTAATCGACACGCAATAAACTTATGTATGTAAACAAATACAATACAAATCTGAGACTCACGCTTGTGAAATTTCTCTAATAAAAAAACATTCTTGTCCACTTTTTTGCTATACTGGATGCACAAACTCTGAATATATCCAAGATCGTCACTCATGTTGTTTTTCCAGAATTGTTCACATTTGTAAGTATTAATTTGATAAGCCTAAGAAAATTTGGTCCCCAGAACATTCTGTTATGGTAAGGCTCTTAAAACATGGGGAATATTTCCTTTATAAAAAAGACAAAAGGGTTGTTTCCTGTAAATGTATTATACTTCTGGGAATGGAAAAAAGAACAACAAAAAAATTAAAATAAAAAAGGTTCTAGGAATGCTGTCTGACGTATATTTACATTTATGTATTTATAAAAAACACAGTAAAATTTAAACCATACATTTTATTGTCAAAACTCATCAGCTGTGGTTGCCAGAACGTTACCATCAAACATAGAGCAGCACTGTTACTGGTTTTACAAGGTTGCACTGTAAATTGTACAGATTACATGTATAACTGTTTAACTAACAGTTCATACCTGTACAATTCAAGGATTTAAATCGTAATATTTACGGCTTAAGGCTATCTTTTATAGCGCTCAGAACAGGTTTGTGCTGGAATAATCACTGTACTATTGTCACGCTGTAGTCATGTCTTTTCTATGAGAGATTATAATACAGTTATCTGTACGACACTAAACCGTATTTTCATTGAGCTGTTCAATTTCTCACACTTTAAAACTTTCTTTTTGAAAATTCTATGTTTATCACACGTTTTGTGAAATGCAGTATTTTTCTGTAGCATTTATACAGTATTTTTCTGTAAAATCTACAGTGATTTTTAACAGTGAATAAATACAAATATTCCATTCTGAGAATATTTATGTAATTATTATTTTTGCATGCAATAATTGGACGAAAAACAAACAAAACAAAACAAACAAAGAGCATGTTTTAGGAATGTTGTCTTACTGTCGCCAATTAAATAAATAAAAGCGAACCTTCTGGGAATATTGTTGTATGCGTGCTAAAAAAAGATAGAAAGTTCTGGGAATGTTTGGATGCACAAAAAAGAAAGGGATTATTATTGTATGGTTAAAAAAAACAAAAAAGGGAATATTCTGGGAATGCTGTCTTATGGTTGCATAATAAATAAATAAAAAAATAAAAGTGAACCTTCTGGGAATATTGTTGTATGGGTGCAAAAACAACAAACAAAAAAGGGAACATTCTCTGAGTGTTATTTTATGGTTGAAAAAAAAACACAAACAAAAAGAAAATGTTCTTTTCTTAAAAAAAAAAAAAAAAGCCTGAAAAGGCTTCCCCAAAAATTTAATTCATTTATTAATTATTTCACCCACTTCTTCCCTTTTGGGATCTAGAGCGACTCCAGGCGAAAGGCAAGGGACACTGTGGAAGGGTTGAATGCATTCAATGATATTTAATTAACCAGATGCATGTTTTCGAGGTTGCAGGAAGAACCAGAGCAGAGGAAACACGTCACCGGCGAGTCTTGAACCAACATCCTTCTCCTTGAAAGGCCACAGTGCTACCCACTGCACCACCATGCCACCCCAAAATGCTATTTTAAGGTAAGTTGAAAGCAATGTGTTTGAAGGAAATGCCTCTTGCGTCTTCAACCACTCTGTAGCCTTTTAATAATTATCTGTGGTTATCTGTGTGCAGCTGAGCAAAAACACTAGTGTTTCAAGGAGAAGTTGTTTCAAGGGTTTCAATGTATGCCGTAGTTTTACTACTTTCTTACATACATTAATTTGCACCCCCCCCCCCACAGGATCAAGCATATAATGGAAATGGGGACAAACTGAGCATCTCAAGCGTCCTTTCGCAGAAAGTGGAATCCGGCAGATGCAGGAGAGATCGGGCGAGGATCAGGTGCAGAGCCGTGCTGCTGATTCAAATTCATTTTATGGAACAATCCACCACACGCTTCTTCTCACACTCTCAAAGCTCCTCTATAATATCCCATCAGCCCACACAATGAGATGGGTCAGAGAGTTTGTCCGCTGGAGATAACTCTCTGTACCTAAGAAATTCTGGCATGATTTGGTTTGTAGGACTACAAGAATTGCCTCATCGTAAACACTTTAAATGTATTCCTACATGCATTTAATACATATGTTTTTACATAACACGTATAATACTAGTACGTGGTAGGACCCCCTTTTTTTCATAGATTCCACAAGGTCCTAGAAACATTCCTCAGAGTGCTTGGTCCATCGAGGGGAAGTGCGGTTAGGGTGAGGAGGAAACAAGAAGATTAGATACAGGTGTGGTGGATGATTGTGTGAGAAACCACAAACACAGGCCTGACACCATCGACTTCCCATCATCATTTGTTTTATTCATCCACATCAAAACAGCAGCACAAATGAGAACTTGCTGTATGTTGAATTTCCTGGAAAACCCCTCAAAAAGCAATCAGTGGGCGGGGTTATGAATGTAACTGTGTTTGTCATAAGTCAAAGACTTCCATTTTCATCACTCACCACATTTCTATGATGGCCAACAAGCTGGGTAGCAAGGACATTGCTCTGTAAGATCTGTAAGTTTTTAAAAAAGGAAAATCCAAGGAGGCAATAAGTGTTCATGGAGAGTCAGGAGGCGTGAACCGTAGAACTCACTGAACATGGCTCGGTGAGATCTCAAACAATGCAAGTTTAAAAAAAGAGGATCCAAGAAGGCAGGAAGTGTTCATGGAGAGTCAGGAGGTGTGAACCGTAGAACTCACTGAACATGGCTCGGTGAGAGCTCAAACAATGCAAGTTTAAAAAAAGAGGATCCAAGAAGGCAGGAAGTGTTCATGGAGAGTCAGGAGGTGTGAACCGTAGAACTCACTGAACATGGCTCGGTGAGATCTCAAACAATGCAAGTTTAAAAAAAGAGGATCCAAGAAGGCAGGAAGTGTTCATGGAGAGTCAGGAGGTGTGAACCGTAGAACTCACTGAACATGGCTCGGTGAGATCTCAAACAATGCAAGTTTAAAAAAAGAGGATCCAAGAAGGCAGGAAGTGTTCATGGAGAGTCAGGAGGTGTGAACCGTAGAACTCACTGAACATGGCTCGGTGAGATCTCAAACAATGCAAGTTTAAAAAAAAGAGGATCCAAGAAGGCAGGAAGCAATCATGGAGAGTCAGGAGGCATGTAGGAAGTGCAGATGGGAAAAGGACACTGAAAGGGTGAGGACGAAACAAGGAGATTAGATACAGGTGTAGTGGAGTGATTAGGTGCAACAGAGAAACACAACACAGACCTGACTCAATCGACTCCCCATCATCGTCATCTAATGTTTTATTCATGAAATCATTTGCATCGAAACAGCAGCACAAATGAGAACTAGCTATATGTTGAGTTTTTCATTTCCTGGATGAATCATTACAATGAAATATTAAAAGAAAAGATTTTAATTAATTACGTTATTACACTGAGTGCGCGTCGAGGATCCTTTGGATGATTAAAAATCCATTCACCAGGGGAGAAATGGTTTAATTGAAGACTATTTTTGGAAAATGTATCTTCGAGGAAGCAAAAACGTTTTTTTTTTTCAGGTTTAACTCTCGTTTTCTCAGATAAGGTGCAGTAATATGCTACATCTCCTCCTGTTGCAAAACGATTTCAGATGTGGCATAAGGTTGGATGGTTGAAATTGCCTGAATTGAATCTGGCAAACATTAATCACACCTCAAAACATTTGTCAAATTCACACACTGCAATGAAGATCTGAATCTCTTCCCGAGGGAGGAAATCTGTGCTTCATGGATTTTGTGATGAAGAGAATTTATGCATTTGTGTGCATTGCAGATCAGGAAATATTCAAAGAGTGCAGGACTCTGTTCACAGCATGGCTGTGGATTTAGTTTGTAAACAAAGACTCAAGGACTTTTCACCCACCTGACATACCACAGAGAGAAGAGCTGAGGTAATCCATTCTGTAGAGCTGTTAGGAATTCACAAATAATGCTGTGGAAATGCTAAGAAGCACTGGAGGAAACACTGCAGGAAATGAAGGGCTTTTGAAAACGTTTAAAGCAAGATTCAATGCTGAGTGTCTGTTGTACTGCCTGGTCATTCTTTCAGACAGCATACAACTGCAGTATTAGAAGATTTTCATGAAAAAAGGGAAAATTGTGTGAATAGAAATTTTCCAGAGGAAAATATTTTCAGTTAGTATTGGGTGCTTGTATAATGTGTTTTTGGAGGAGTAATTAGGGCCTGCCACCAGTGTTTCCAATGAAACCATTGCTTTTGGTTGCCAGGAGTGCACGGAATGCTTTTATAACATGTTTCGGGAGGAGCAATTAGGGCGTTCCACCAGTGTTTCCAATTAAACCACTAAGCATCCATTACTATTTATGGCTATTTTACCTCTTCATTGTCAACTTTGTCCAAGCTTCACCCCTCTTTCTTCCTCACCAGTGTGTATAGCATTTAAATTTGCCTTTATGTTAAATTGGTTTACGACCCACACAATGTTATTATTTAACGACAGTCGATGCTCAGACTACAAGGCTGCCCCTGGTGGTGAACTTTGTTTTTTGAGGGACTCCTAAGAACTGGAAGGCTGAGAGGCAGCAGGTCTAACCACTGCTATTCCAAGCTCCCCACAGGTGTCAAAAAAAAGACAAATTGAATTCAGTTTCATGCCGCAGCTAATGGCCTCTGTTTTGCTTCTTAATTCAGTTCACATGGTCCTGGGGTTTAAGATAGGACCCCCTGCAGTAAGTCTCCCTCCATGTGTCCTAGCTGCAAATTACATGAACACAATCTGTCGCATTACTTCTCACAACTGTCTGGAGGTTATTCATGTGGGAGGAAACTCCTAATAAGTCTTTCACATGATTCAGAAGTTTGATTGAAATTGCCAAGATGGAACATGGCAGAGTCTGAAATGGAATTGCACTTCCCTGTGGTATAGGGAACAAAAAAAAAGAAACGTGCAAGACTTTCTCCAGGCTTTCTCTATTTTATTTATATTGTGCAATTTAAAAACAGAAGGGAATTGAAGCAGTGGGGAAAACCTATCATAAAAAGTAATATAGACAAAGCATACAGGAAAACAGTGAAAACAAAACCTATTATTTCCCCAAATAAGATTCTGAATTGGCCGTTCACAGCAGACACGTTACGCAATTCTATCCTGAGGTGCTCATAATTGTGGAGGCCATAATTTACTAAAGTATGTTGACGTTCATTATTTTGCTAATATTCACTTGGTTGTGTTTTGTAGCATTTGCACTTTTCTCATTAAAATGCAATGCATTAATGTGCCTGAAACTAAAATCTCAGCCCCCTGTGCATTTTTGTTTTGTTTGACAGACTGAAAGGGCCACAATGTCGTGAAAGGGATAAAATATGCAAATCAGTGCAATTTAAAATGGTATTAGACTCTATGTTAATGAGCAGAAGCTTTAAAATGTAAGGTTCAATAAGACAGAATTCATACAAAATACTGAGACATTCTGGAATAATGAACTTTATAATTTGCTCTAATAAATTATGTTTAGAGAGTTTTAAATGGGAATGCGTGATTTCATTTATTTATTACAACCCCAGCTTCAAATTTTCCAGTTTCATTACAAAACACAAAACTTCCACAAAAAACCTGATATTGTACAAAAAAAAAATTTAAAATTGTGAGCATAAAAATCTCAAAACTTGAGAATGAACAGTTTTTGTTTTATAGCAAAAATCAAAAGCGTTGAGACAAAATTAAAATTCATGAATCACCCCAAAAAGCAAAGACATGAGCAAAACAATGTGAAAATTGTATTAAACAAAACCTTAAACTATTCTCCCAAAAAACTTTTAAGAAAATGCACAGTTGTCTTTCAATTTCATTTTACAAACCGCAAATCTGGGCCATCTAGTGGTGAAAAGAAAGGACAACCCTTGGATGTACAAGACCTTTTCAAAGTTCTGGCACAAAAAAGCACAATGGAACAAAAAGTGCCTGGAACAGTGTAAAAGGGTCAGAATTTTTATTTTGTCTCAACACTTTTGATTCCTGTTATAAAATTTTGGAATTATTTGCAGAGGTTTCAGGTTTGTTGAGGAATTTTTGTGTAATGTAATGAAAAACTGTAAAAAAAAAGAAGTTTTTTTTTGCTCAAAAATTATATCAAACATTGACACAAAAAATAGTTTTAACGTGTAATTCATCAGAGAAAATTCTAAAGAAGAAAAAAAAAACGCTCCAAACGGCAGCGGACTTCTAAGGGTTGGAGCTCAAAGACATTTGTCCCCGACTCAAAGAAAAAAGTAAAGTCAATTAAGAGGTGTTTTAAATATTTATAACTCACCATTCAAAAGAACGGAGAAAGAATTTTTTTGGTAATTTTTTTAATAGAAAAATGGATCTGGGTAAGCTAATGCTTTGTTTTGCTTTCCGTCTCATTTTTAAAACATATGGGTCAGACCCGAGGTGGACTTAGACCAGAGTGACTTTTATAAAGTGTTTTATAAAAACACTTTATAAAAAGTGTTTTTATAAAAAACACTTTTTATAAAGCGGCAAAAAGTTTAGGCCTCACAAGAACAGCATGAATAAAAA